CACCCCCATTCCCTAACTCACCTTGGACAGTGCTGGGGGCAGCAAGAGCACCAAAGAGATACTCTGGCCAAAACCAGAGCGTCTCTTCTGGAGGACTGAGTTCCATGTTAGTGCCAGGCATGGTCTGGGACCATGCCTTGCTCTGCTGTTCTCCGGAGTGTTTTTTTTAACCCCTGGAAGGTCTAATTTTGTCCCTGCGCTGCAAATTTGCAGCACAAGGAACATTTTTTCATTCCCAAATGCACCTTTTGACCCATCTCAAAGGGGTTTGAGACAGGGCAAGAGGCATATGTGTGCTCATATGGACGCGCCCTAAAGGTCAGCATGACCCTGAGACAGTTCAAACAGTTTCATAGTCAACATTAGTGATCTCACTAGCCAAAAGTTCTGTTATAGGTTTCCAAGCAATTATTTACTGAACAGTTGAAGCCACTTCTGAAAAAGATATACAGTAGGACTTTACATTGAGTTCTGAATGTCAATGCTCTCAAGGTTGATGCCTGCATTTTTTATTCAGTCCTAACTCAGGTTAATTTTCAGCTGAAATTAACATTAAAATAAAATGTTCTTGGATATAGTATAAATTCCTAGAAAACAGATTAAATGAATATAGGTAAGTAGATGAATTGGTTGGCTAGGTTGGAAAGATGAATGATTTGGTTGGGGTTACTAGATGAAGTAGACAAACTTTCCATTTGTAGTTTTACAGAGAACTGGGCATTGGACACTTTGCATATATGGACCTATGACTGTCTGAAAGGGGAGTTTTCTCTAACACAGACCTAAAGAATCTGTATTGGAGAACAGGGCAATTCCATATTTAGAGGGAAGGAAGAAGCACTTCAGTTCAGAGGGATATTTTTAAGTGTAATTTTTTGAAGCTCCACAGGGTCCTGGAATGATTCCATCATTCCAGAAGCATCTGAGATAGTGGACAGAGTATATGCGAGTAGGTTAAAATATATAATAAATTAATTTTATCATGTGGATCTGCAATTATCACATTGATATGAAGTGTGCTCTGTAATATTTTCAAAACAAGCTTCTAAAAACTAATGTTGTAGCCATGATGGTCCAGAAATTACATGAGAGGCAAGAACTGTTTTGGGTGATTTATTGTATTGGACCAACTATGTAGTTGGGCTAAAGTTAGATAAGTGTTCCAATGCAAAATACTGTTTGTCAAGTCTCCTGCTTCTTTGAAAACTAATGAATGAATGAATGAATGAATGAATGAATGAAATAATTATACTACACGATACCTCATATTCTTCTGTTTCCTTTAAGTCAGGGAAGAGGTCAATATCTACAAAACAAACAGATGTATTAAATTATACAACATTTTAATGCACAGATTTATTGATTTTGAAAGGAATAATTTCATTTTCAAAAGGTATAAATTTTGTAATTACAATAGACCAAAACTTTATACTCCATAGAAATTTCTAATGGAGCTAAATTCCAATAAGCCCGTTAGTCTTAGGTCTAGGAATTTAGGGAATGCTATTCTGAGAAGCTACTAAGCTGCAAAAAAGTAACAAAAAAGGGAGCAGCAATCAGAAAGCATGCATTTAGTTTCAGCATTTTCTGACTGGCCCAGGATGGATGCTACAGCACATCTTGGCTGCATGTTGGCAAGAGACTGAGGATTAAATGATGTACCTGGGGCTAGCAGACAGACGAGGGAAAAAGGACACACACTACCAGCTGAGAAGTGCTTTGGTTCTCTAGTGCCATTGAAATTATACATATATTACTCTATAGTTGGTAGGCCAACATGAATATACCTGCTGAAGGAAAGGCTATAGACAGTCAGGTATTAGTGCTACATCAGATGGGACTGAACAATTCCATGCCATCTTTTCTTGGCACAATATATGCAAATGAAAAAAGGATGAACAAAATGCGTCTGTGTTGCAAGGTCATATGTGTAAGGTAGTATACAGCATAACCCACATCACTGTGGAGAAGGTAACTCATCTTGATGCACTTATGGGGGAAAAGTAAGACTGCCAGCTCATGTATCTCTTGTGCTCAGGACTGGATACTAGATTTGGAATCACTTTACAGCTAATAGCTTGGTAGTTAAGAATATTCAACTGGGAGCTGGAAGTCTCATCTTCAAACCCTTCCTCTGCCTCATTTGGAACAAGGACTTGAACCCAGGTCTTTCATATCCTAGGAGAATACTTTACCAGGCTAGTGTGTTCTAGGATGACTCTTTCTCATCCTGTTGAAGCTGCTCTGCTGTGTAGAAGTTATTAAATAAATGTTGATGCAACCATTTGAATGTGATACTCTCACACCCCATTGGACTATAGTTACTCTATATTTTTCACTTCCTCTTTTGCTTTTTGACCTTTCCTGACGGTGGTCATTAGATTTTTCAGAGAAATGCACGAGAAACCTTCCAATCATTTGGAAAAATCATTAGGTATCTTCCAAATATCAGGAAATACTTCTTATATTCAATGCCTTATTGAATCTCGCTGAGACTTTTGTCTCAACATCCTATTACAATTATTTCACAGGTTAAGTAACAATACATGCCAGTGGCTAGGTCTGACTGAATTAAGAAGTTCTAGTCTGAAAAAATATTCTAAACATAGTATCCTATTTGTTGTTTCGCACTGATTTCCATATTAAGCTTCTTGAGTATACAAGTATAAAGATTTCCCCTCCCCGCAACTGCTAGCTCTGTAAATTCAGCCTCGGATCTAAGAGTTAATTTGCATTATTTTCAGATTGTATTTAGTAATTTTCCTGAATTATATTAAGGTTGGTATCCCACAATATATGATTGTGTAATATACCTTTTGTTCATTACATTAACAGGCTAAAACAAGCATATTGCTAGATGTATAATGTAAAAATTAAATGAATAATTCTGCATGAAATCATTTTATAATTAGCAACAATTTAATTAAATACTTGACAGATTATATTAACAAAATGTAGAAAAGTTATCTTACCTGTGTCTTTTAGAAGGCTAGAAGGAAAAGATGATGATGTTCCCTGGCTTCTCAATGGTTTACACTTACATTTGAAATAGCAATATGACAATTCTTAATACTGTAAAATTTAATTACTTTTATGAAAAATACATGATTATTTTGCTACCGGAATTAATTTTGATTTGAACACATAAAACTAATGTTTTCTTTCTGATTTCAGGTCTATGTATGTTTCTAGAGTAACTACATTATCTTTTGAATATCTGGAGGAAAAAACAAATATTGTGATTTTACAGTTTCATTTTAATAGTATCTGTATGTTTTTTTCACTATGATGAAAACTGCAAGAGGTGTATGGGTGCTCTGGTTCCACCAAAGTAAAACTACAATTTCTTCCTTGTGTTTTAAATGGGAATTCTCACAATACATATAATTAAAAAGATTCACTAAATCTCTGGGCACTGAAAACCTGTGTTTTTGTTTAGATAACAACAAAACAAATCTACTTGCCAAAACCACTTTAAATACTTCTTTATGCTGGTTTTGCTAATCGTACCTCTAAGTTCAATAGCGTACAATAAAACCTGCTTACTAAAACCCCTTTTACCAAACCCAACAGTAGAAACCATTTTTTCATCATTATGATGCAACAAATTGACAACCCTATTACAGTGAACACCTTTTAATAAACTTTTATCCCGATCGTACAACTGTTTGTTGTAATGTGGTTGTATTGTATGAGTAACATGCTAATTTTCTCAAACATGGGAAAGTCTCTTACATAGTTTAATTAAATATTTATTTTTTCTATAACTACAAATTGGTTATTCAATAACTTACATTTTAAAGTGATGCAGAAATAATAGTACAAAGACTAAAGGAAACTTTTTATAACTAAGATTCTCTTACACTTCTAAGATATGAAAGAGGCACAAATGCAGCTTACAGCATCTAAATTATCAACCTGACCCTATTTTTCCCTGAGCAGCAGCTAAAATTTTACAAAAGGTTTCTTAATTCCTTCTGCACCTACATCTTAAGTGACTAGACTTGGATGAGTGCGTGTGACCAGAAGCAATCCAATATGACACTGAACTCTGCTGATCCAATTGCCTAGCCACCAATGAATCAAGCATGACTGAGAGTATCCTTTGGTCAAAGCTGGCTCACTAAGTATAAAGGATGCAAGGCCAAATGGAGTAGAGATAAGAGGAAGTGTGACTCTAGCCCAGTGAAGAGGGCATTCCTTTTTAAAGGGGATGCCCTAGGTTCTGCCTTCTGCAGCCAGGGTTATTTCTGTTTTTGTTTTTAGCAAATGACAATCTAACCTAAATACATAAACAATCCAGTGAGTGAGCCTAGTGATTATGGCACACAGGTGGGTTAGAGTAGGGACTTGGTTTCAGTCCCTACTGCTAGATTTGCTTATGCATTTTCCTTAAGAAGTAATTGGATTCAATGGACGCCTCCCTTCTGGAGCAGTACCTATGCAACTGAGCTACAGGGACAACTACCTCTTGAGTGTTTTTTTTCTGGCCCCAAAGGCTCTTGTATTATTTTCCCAACCATGGCCCAGTTTCAAGAGGAAGGGTGGAAAATGGAAACAGAACATGGTTATTAGGGCACTCTCCTGGGAAGTAGGAAATGTAGTTCAATACCTCCGAGTAAGATGAACCTGAAAACGAAGTCTCCTCCTCAGTTGGCAAGTATCTTAACCATAAGGCTATTAGGCAAAAGGCAGACATGACCACGATTTTACATTGAAGTCAATGCTGATGTTTTTCAGTTAGATGTACTGGTAAGATATCTTCTCTGTCAGCTAAATCCCAACAAGGCATATCTACTCTCATTGATTTAGATTGCACTGGATCCCAACACTATCCAAATGCTTAAAACTGCCCATACCTTTGTCCATCCAGAGGACAGAAGACCTAGGCATTAGGCCTGTGCAAAGCAGCTAGTATTTGCTTCAGATTTGGATTCAGCTGATTCGGGGGACAGTGATTCGATTTGGTGATCCGAATCACTGTCCCAAATCAATTTGGGCAAATCTGATTCAGAGATTTGCCTGTCACTGAATCTCCGAATTGGCCCCATCCCCCGCCAGCTCTCTCAGCCCTTTCAATGACTGCCCCACACAGCCCCAGCTCCCGGCTCTTTGAAAAAAAAAGAAAGCCTGGCACTCACCAGCTGCTGCCAGGCAGGGGGGTGATCCCCGCTGCCCCATGCTGTGTGGCAGGGCTCTGTCACAAGCCCCCATCTCCCGCCTGCTCTCCCAGTCCCAGCTCTCAGTTCTTAAAAAATAAGCCCCCACTCACTGGCTGCTGCTAGGCAGGGGGGCAATCCCTACTGCCCCCCGCCATATGGGGGGCTCTGCCATAATCCCCCCAACCCCCACTCTCCCAGCCTCCGCTATGGCTGCCCCGCCCAGCCCCAGCTCCCGGCTCTTAAAAAATAAAAGCCCCAAACTCACCGGCTCCTGCTAGGTAGGGAGGCAATCCCCACTGCCCCCCACTGCCTCTTGCTGCATGGTGGGGGCTCTGCCATGAGCTCCCAGAAGCTCCAAGGCTGTTGCAGCATCCGGTGAGCTGAGGGTTTTTTTTTTTTTTTTTTTTTTTTTTTTTTTTTAAAGAGTCAGGAGCTGCGGGTGGGCGGGGCAGCCATGGTGGGGGCTGGGAGAATGGGCGGGGGTCATGGGGCTGGTGACAGAGCCTCCCATGCAGCATGGGGCAGTGGGGATCGCCCCCAGCCTGGCAGCAGCCGGTGAGTAGTGGCTTTTTTTTAAACAAATGGGAGCTGGGCTGGGCAGGGCTGGGACAGCAGGCGGGGGTCAGGGGGCACTCACAGGGGCTGGGGGAGCAGGTAGAGGATGGGGCCTGGCAAGGGTCAACCCCATGGTCCCCTCCCCACTTCTCCAACCTCCCCTCCACCACCCCTTACTTACCAGCATAGAGTCCGGGTCCAGCTCCCTGTGGGAGCCAGTGGGGACTGCCCGAATCGCTGATGCTTTCTGAATCTTTTCCAGATTGATTTGGAGAGCTTTGAATTGATTTGGACCATTTAATTGGTCTCCTGATTTGATTTGGATTTGGAGATTCAGCCGTTGAATCAGGCCAAATCTGCTCCACATCGAATCAGCACCCGAAGCTTCACACAGCCCTACTAGGCATCATAGATGCAGAATAGGATTGCTTTCTTAAGCCTTGACATAAATCTGAGGTAAGCAGCCATCCAGTCTTAGTTGACTTAGGTGAAAATAAGATCTGGGTCTAAAATATTTTTTAACATTTAAACTTCTAAGTATGTTCTTAAACCAACCTATTCTATAATTTTAGGATATTTTTCACCCAATAAATTATCCTCAGTTGCAGGCCACAATACACAATAAATGATATTGTAAGAATACACGTAAACATGCTTTAAAACCTTTAAATGAACCACTTAGATTTTCCACATTATCAACAGAAACAGCATTATAAGCCACCCTTCCCCTTGGGGAAGCATTTAATATATACTTAATATCAGTTATAAAGAAGTTACAAAGAACTGCTGTCAGTATGAGATGCTGTATAAGGAACAAAAGTTTTAGTACTATATCTTACATTTTTTTATGATAAACTCCAGTTGACATGCTTATATGGAAAAATGAGAGGGTGTGTGTTTAGGTTCACTTCCTGTGTCAGCTGAAGCATATACGCACCAATAAAGTATAGCAGAAGGTTTATTTATTACCATATTATTTATAAAAAATATTATTTTAAAGAGTTAATAAATGTATTTAGATTATCATTCAGGAGACACTTCCAAGAGCAAATAATTGAAATTTCCTTAAAGATGGGTAGGGCAGTTAGCTACACGATTCTCATTAATTTAAAAAAATAGTTGTGTGGTTATATCTTTTAGCTGGTTTTGAAAATTTATCCAATATATTTTTATTTGTATAGATAGAGCACTTCAAGATTCTTTAGTTCTAAACAATATTAAAAAACAAACAGTAAAAAACTATAGGGTAAAATCTTGACTAGTCTCTTAAGGTCTGTATGCACTGCAGCAGCTGTGGTGCATTCCATCCACAATGGCTTGAGCATGCCACATGCATGCCCTGCCCAACCAGGCCCATGGTCTATACAGAGAGGGCATGTCTACACAAGGTGCTGACTGCACAGTAGCTGAATAATATTGCACAGCAGTGCATCACGTCATGGACAGTGTTAATACACTACTGCACAGCATTATTAGGCTATTGTGCAGTAGTGTCACTTAAAAGACATTTGCCAGCACTACTGTGCAGTAACTCCGGTTACTGTGCATTTATTTAGTACTTGGTAATACAAATACTAAATAAATACACAGTAATGATTGTGCAGTAGCATCTCATGTAGACAAGCCCAGAAAGATGCTGGTGAGGCTGTTTTGAGGCTGAACCTGGTCTCAAACCCTCAGTCTCTGGTTTGCATTACAGCAGCCAATGGTAGCTGCCATAGTAGTCTTCTGGGTTTGAAGCTGTCTCTTTAAAGCTTGTGTGTTTTAACCTCTAAACACCCTATATAACAATGTGTTATCTTATGCTTAGATATAATTACTTTCACACAATCCACATAATAAACAGAAACCGAAAGAGCTTATATAGGGGTCCCAGGCATATTGTGCTAACTTCACTGACTTCCTTGGAATTACACAGATTCAGCTTTACATAATCCATAGTTTTACAAAAAGAATGAATATGATGATAAGCAGAACTAAGGTATACTTGAACATACTGAAGACCATGATGGCCTGTTCCTATGATTAAGGCTACGATTGTGTCTGGGTAACTTTTAGTACATTTTTCAGCAGCTCTCCAAGAAGAAAATTAATAGTCATAGGAAAGTTACGGATCATACTTGCTCTGTGCCTACAACAATTAAACTGAATGAAGTCCTATAGTGGGAACACTACTTCCTTGGAATTGCATCAGGAGAGTCATGGATTTTATTTCATATTCGTTGTTGTTTCCATAGCTCCCATGACAAAATTATAGCTTTACTTATGATCAGTCCACATGAAAGGCCCAAGCTGATGGCCACAAAAGTAAAGGTTCTCTGTTGTGGTAGAAAATTACCAATGATTAACTTACAAGCAGAAGAGTTAAATCTGGCTTTGAAATCAACAAGAGAATTGTTAGCATTTTTGATCATCATGATTCAACATTAAGCCGCAAGGGAATTCCACCACCCTGTGTTTTGAAATCAAACTCCAAGTGCTCATATGTAAAAAAAAATCTCAAAATCAATTCAGATACATATTTTAAAATCATATTATCTTTTTAATGTTTTGCTTTACATTTTTATTAAGTATATTGAAATTTGGAAGCAGAAGTATGCTGAAACTATAGATAAAAAATTTCAAAGTGAAATAATTTCAAATATGATCTGAAATAATGTGCAACTGCTTCAGAATTTTTTTAGAACTAAAAAAGAACAATAAAAATTAACTGCAGAGATGGTGTTATTTAAAGTTTAAAATGAATGGAGAATTACATACTCAGTGATAGAAAATGAGTGACAAAAAGTCTCATTAACTAAATTTATGGTTAACACAAATGATTTTGAAATTTAATTTAATAGCATTTGGGTAGTTAAGCATTTCAACTGGTTTGCAGGCAAACTATTTCTCCTAATACATTTTATCAGAAAAAGAATTAGGTTTAAGAGAACACTTACCTGGACCATCTGGAGGTGTATCAACAATGACTTGGTCACTGTATTTTCCAAATAGACCATTAGAGCAAATAGCAACTATCTGAAGAACGTAACTTGTATTGGGCAGCAGATTATTTAGAATAGCTCCCTAAAAGAAAAGTAATGGTTAAGCATATAAATGGGAATTTCCAGCACATTAAAAAAAAGTTAGAACATCTTTTCCTAAAATTGTTGTTTTCTTCCATGAATCAATGAGAAACAGTTCCAGTATATTCTAATATGTGACTTTTACATTTTGGTGAGAAAAACAGGCAAAAAAAACCTTTAAAACTAGATCCTGTTAAATGTCCTAATGGAGAATAACTGGACAGAGCACATTTTTCTATGCTGAATACTAGTTTTAGACTGCTATTTTTTGTTCAGTGTATGGCTCTTCAAAGGGAGTGATTTTTTATATTGGTAAAGCACCATCAAATTACAAATAAATCAATATTCATAGTACTCTCTCTGGTATCATTGTTCAAATTCTGAATCTTTATTATTTGCCTATGTATATTATTCTATACATTACTGATCAATGGGGTAGGCTCTTCACTGTATGGAGAAAGAACCACATGATCAGTAAGACCGGAGCCTGACAGCACAGCACTCTTTAGTTGGTATGACAGAGAAAAAGAACAGAAGTTTAAGGAAGCCATACTACCTCAGTGATGACAGCTCTCTCCCATATAGGTTTTTTTTTTTAAATTTGTCTCTGAGGCTCCATAACCAAAGAGAGAAGTGGAGCTTCTCTGAGCAGCACCCAAACAAATTAATTTTCATTGAATAAGCTCCGTGACATCATTTAATCACCCAGCATAATTCTTTGTGAATGCTTCACTACCTCCACTGTATATGAAACTTGAAGAGGTTAGTTACCAAGTCTTGATATCCATCTGTCAGAAACTCATGCTTAGTCTGGTCTTCTCCATCCAATTGCTGATAAAAGACTGCAAATCTGTCAATCATAGTGTCATACACAACTCGAGGTCGATCCCAGGTAACAAGTAGGCTAGTATAGTTCTTTGGATCAGCTTGGACATTTTCTGGTTCTGAGCTGCAAACTTAAAAAAATAACAATAGCAATAACAACAGCAACAACAGCAGCAATAGCAATAGCATCATTTTAATAAATAACATCACTAATTCCAAGTACTGAAGGGTTCATTCACATCCCACAGAAGTCAGTACAAGTCTTAGAATTGCAGAATCAGGAGAGAAGGCGGGCGGTTGGCCCAGATCAGGTGGGCGGGGCATTGGTAGATTGGCCCCGAGAAGGCTCCCTGTTACAGTGTCATCCATGAACTTGCTGAGGGTGCACTCCATCCCATCTTCCAGAGCATTAATGAAGATACTGAACAAAACTGACCCCAGAACTGACCCCAGGGGCACTCCATGTGATACTGGCTGCCAATTAGACCTTGAACCATTTATCACTACCTGTTAAGCCTGACAATCTAGACAGCTTTCTATCCATCTTACAGTCCATTCATAGAACCCATGCTTCCTTAACTTGTTTGCAAGAACGCTATGGGAGACGGTATCAAAAGCCTTGATAAAATCAAAGTACATCACAATCACTGCTTTCCCCACAGCAACAGAACCAGTCATCTCATCATAGATGGCAATCAGGTTGGTCAAGCATGACCTGCCCTTTGTAAATCCATATTAACACCTGAACCACCTTGTTCTTCTCCAAGTGCTTGGAAATGGATTCCTTGAGGACCTGGTCCATGATTTTTCCAGACTGAGCTGACACTGACTGGTCTGTAGTTCCCTGGATCCTACCTGTTCCCTTTCTTAAAGATGGGCACTATATTTGCCCTTTTCCAATTGTCCCAGACCTCCCCAATTGCCATGACTTGTCAAAGAAAATGGTCAGTGGCTCTGCAATCACATCAGCCAACTGTCTCAGCACCCTTAGATGCATTGCATCTGGCCCCATGGACTTGTACATGTCCAGCTTTTCTAAATAGTCCCTAACCTGTTCTTTTCACCACTGAGAGCTGCTCACCTGCTCCTCAAATCGTGCTGCCTGGTGTAGTGCTCTGGGAGTCTGTGAAGCCCGAGGTAAAAAAGGCATTAAGTAATTCAGTCTTTTCCTCCTCATCTGTCACTAGGTTGCATCCCCCATTCAATAAGGGACCCACACTTTCCCTGACTTTCCTCTTGATCCTGACATAAATGTAGAAACCCTTCTTGTTACCCTTCAAGTCCCTTGCTACCTTCAATGCCAATTGTGCTTTAGTCTTCCTGAACTCATCCCTGTATGCCTGAGCAATATTCTTATACTCCTCCCAAGTTGTTGGTCCAAGTTTCCACTTCTTGTAAGCTTCCTTTGTGTTTCAGCTCACCGAAGAGTTCTGTGCCAACCAAGCTGGTCTCCTGCCATATTTGCTATTCTTCCTGCATATCAGGATGGTTTGTTCCTTTGCCCTCAGTAGGGTTTCTTTAAAATATAACCAGCTCTCCTGGACTCCTTTCCCCATTAGACTGGCCTCCCAGAGGATCCTGCTGATCAGTTCCCTGAAGGAGTGAAAGTCTGCTTTTCTGCAGTTCAGGGTCCATACTCTGCTCTCCTTTTTTCTTTTTGTCAGGATCCTGAACTCAATCACCTAGTGGTAATTGATGCTCAAGTTGCCATCTGCTTCTACATCCCCCACCAATTATTCCGTTTGTGAGCAGCAGGTGAAGAAGAGCATGGCCCCTAGTTAGTCTCTCCAGGAGTTTATACATGTGCTCTGGGAGTGTGTGGGTGTGGGGAGGGGGAATTAAAGTGTGTGGGTGTGGGGAGTGTGTGGGTGTGGGGAGGGGGAATTAAAGTGCCTCCCTCTAATTAAAGCACCTGGAATGTCTTGTGTATCAGTGTCCCTGCACTTCAAAATGGCAGTGGGGAAGCTTTACCTAAAGCTTATCAAATGATCTTTAGCTAAAGTGCCCCTGCTGCCATTTTGAAGTGCGGGGACACTAATACACAAGATGCTGGAGGCTGCTGGAGTGCAGTAATTACTAGGGGTGTGAGAAGGGGGCCTTTTAGATTGGGATTTGGCCCGAATCAGGGACAGTGATTCGATTCATTGATTTGGATCACTATCCCTGATTCGATTAGTCCAAATCCAAATCTGAAAATTCAATGCTGATTCAGAGAATCAGCAATTCGGACATAGACACAGCTTTAAAAGTTTTTTGTACATACCTTGAGGTAGCAGGTGTGGCTTATGATCACTGCGATGCTGGGGTGCAGGTGCCCCTCCCAGACCCAGGAGACACCAGTCACTGAGCTGGGGTAGCATGGGGGGTGGGGGCCCAGCATGTTCCCTGATGGACCCAGAAGCGCTTCTGGTCCACTGCCGGGTCTGCTGCCGAGCATGCTGGGGAGCTCCCTGTGCTTCTGTGGGACGCTCCATGCACCCTAGTACTGCAACACTCACAAGCCCCTGCTACCTCGAGATATGTAGAAAAAACATTTAAAGCTGTGTCTATGCCCATATCTCTGAATCTCTCTGGATCGATTTTGGAGGGTTCCCATTTGATTCAGAGAGATTAAAGGGTCCTCTGATTTGATTGGGATTCAGAGATTCAGCCACCAAATCTGGCCGAATCGCCACTGAATCAAATGAAGGACCAAAGTGTCGCACAGCCCTAGTAATTACCACACTCTAGCAGACTCAGTTAATTGAGTCTGGTCATGTATAGGCGCTCTCCAACACTTGCACCAGGAGTAGTCACCTTATTCATTTTCATGGGAGCTCAGTCTAGCTCTAAAACTAGTAAAGTACTTAGTCTTCCAACTAAGTAAATGTGGCCTAATGTTTCTCTTGAAAAGACAGTTTTCAGCTGCTTATTACTTCATATGACTCTTGCCATTAGGATTGAATTTTTCATTGTTGGGTACCTGCCTTCAGTTTAACAATTTTCTTTAAAATTTTAGTATGTAATGAAAGGCTGTGTTACTCATTCTATTATTTCACTTATTATATCATTTCTATTACCTCATTTCAGCTACCAAATGTTTAAAAAAATTACTCATAGAAAGTTTTCAATTCATGCATAACTAAATGGCTATGAAAAATGCAGATATTTCTTAATTTATTCAAATCTTGTTAAGATTTACCATTTGATACAAGGGATTAAGTTTATATCCCTTACTTAGAGAAACATATAGAAAATGTATATTTAAAGCCACATAGTCTATTTAAATGAAATTCAAGGATATAAGGAAAAATAATCTAAAACACTGTACTTTTTTTGCATATGACACCCCCCAAAATAAGATACATGCTTTGTTTTGGTATGAAAAACCTTCTTTCCCCCACCCCCCCAGAGTCATGGTCAAAAGTTGACTGCATGGGGAGAGTATAATTTTCATCTCACTTGCCCTCCCCTAGCTGGTCAGTTTGAAGGTAATGCCAATTTGGCAACAGCTACAAGAAGACTAAAACTAGCTCTGATACTATAGAGTGGACTCTACCCCTGCTATATGCTGGCCAAAGAGATGGGAGTGAAGCATAGTCCCATTCTAATATATCCATGCTTCCATTCCAATGCAGAAATCAGCCTCTCTGATTAAGTCATACTCCCTAATTTTGGCAGGTAATTTTTGGGGGAAAAGGTACATGTGGTATATGAATAAATAGGGTAAGTGTATAGATCAGTAGTTCTCAGTTTAGAGCAATAGCTCAAAACCTGCTGTAGACCACTATATTACTCTGCCATCAAACTTTTAACTGAAAAAGAGAGAAATGGTTAGGGTGATCCATGGATCAGCTGCTGACCACTTAGCACACCCTGCTCAGCCATGACTGGTTAGTTTTGAGAATCACTGACTTAAAAGGTTAAGAGAGAATCTCTTACAGTTTCTTAAAGATTATAATACAATTCAGAGCATACTTTGATATCAAACTTTTTGAGGACAAACCTGAAGTTTTCACAGGAATGAAAATCTAACTTTGATCTTTTAATTAACTTTGCAAACTGCCTTTTGAACACAAGAGGGCACTCAAAATTATGCACTGTCTTAGAAGATCAAATTTCTACTGTATAATGAATTGTTGGAAAATTACTAAATATTTTATTTACATAAACAAAACAAAGATGATGACTAAAATTGTATTCTTCTGAGTTCACAATACATTGCAGAATGTTGTAAATTATTCTGAAATCTATCTTCGTGTGAGTTCCCATATTTCAGATCTACTGTGATGTGATAATTTCTTTTGAGAGTCTATTACTTTGGTTGTAATATAACACGTGTAATCTTAACCCACTGTTTACTCTCAAATGACTAATTCAATTCCTATTTTCAAATGTTATTATTCAGAAATGGGGACGTATCTGTTTAACTTTATAAGCCTGAAACTTTTCTTTCTTCACTGGGATGTTGTTTGGTGCATCTATTCTTGTTTCTTGTCTGTGGGTTGACCCTTTTGGATAGAGTAGGGTATAAATCTAATAAGTAAATAATAATCACATTAAATTGTCTTTTCAAACCACTTTTAATTCTATTAAATGCATATTGTTGCTATTTCAGTACATGTCCACCAGATGGCAGAAGGATATCAATATGCTTTAACTACACTCATTCTTTTGCTCTGGTCATTGTAAACCACAAGGGAGAAAACGCAACCTCTGAGGTGTTTTTTTAACATGTTTCCTTGTCCCTTGTGTTTTCAAATAACTTTTAAAAAACTGTTTTAAAAAATAAACCTCAGGAGATCATCTAGTCCAACTCCCTGCACAAAGCAGGACCATCCCCAACTAGATCATCACAGCCAAGGTCTTGTTTAGCCAGGTCTTAAAAACCTCCAAGGATGGAGATTCCACCACCTCTCTGGGTAACCTATGCCAGTGTTTTACTACCCTCCTAGTGAGAACATTTGTCTTAATATCTAACCTAAACTTTCCTTGCTGCAACTAGAGATCGTTGCCCCTTGTTCTGTCATCTGCCATCACTAGCTCCATCCTCTTTGGAACCACCCTTCAGGTAGCTGAAGGCTGTGTACAAAGTGAAATAATGTCCCCCAGGGTGGAGACAGTTTTAAGTATAAAGACTCTCTACACTTCC